AGGGTCTGGTTACCTGCCACTAATTTCTTAGGGGTCCAGATATAATTAAAGAAATTAGGAAGGGTGGCCCCAGACCTTCCTTTTCGCAGGCCTAACCACTCTGCCTTTCTTCTCTGTAAGGCGGCCTGCTGTTGGCGCCAGGTGTGGCTGCCTTCTGCTGTCTCCTGGAAACAGGTCCAGAGGCATCACTGTGCAGGTGCTTTACTTAGAAAAGGCTGAGCTGGGTCACAGGTGTGACTGCAGTGCCGAGCCTGTAGCAAGGGCACTCTATCAGAGGTGATCTTGTTTGGATGTATCTTTAAATTCTTTCTTAATTTCTAATTTTATTAGCTTATTCTCATACTGTAATCAGCCAAAACATCCATTGTCACCCTCTGATGCGCGCTCTCTCTCTCTCTCTCTCTCTCTCTCTCTCTCTCTCTCTCTCTCTCTCTCTCTCTCTCTCACACACACACACACACACACACACTTGCCTTCCTCATTCCTGAACAACAGATGGTTTGTGTCATCTGGACATAGGAAGAGCCTGGTTCTGAACTGGCCAGCTCTGATCTCTCTCAAGCTGACTGGTTAGTGTCTCTGTAGCAGCCTCCCTGCTTTGCCTCTTGAGGTCATCCTGCCTTGCCAAGGATGATCTAGCTTGGTGCCCATACTTTCCTCTGCTGGGGAAATCTTCCACAGGGACAGTGAAATTGGACTAAGAATAATAGCTATCATTTATGGGCAGGTCCACGGAAATGCCACTTATACAATAGACAACCAACTATGCCACTCATTGTCACCTGTGGCAGATCTCTTTGTAGTACCAAGGAGACCTAGATTCCTTTTGGTAATGACAGAGACTGAGTTATATTATTGTTTATTTTTATTATTTTATATTTATAATTCATTGCATTTTAGTGGGCCTTTAGCACATGTCATATTTTGGATATTAGGTTAGCCCCTGTGGCCAGAGAGGTGATTGGGTCACAGCCCCTGCCTTGGTTAGCAGAAGTAGCCAGTCCCAAAGAGGATGATTTCAAAACAGTAGCATAAACAGGGGCCACTGGGTCGACCTCCCTCACCCTCCTCCCCCTTGCAAAAGAGCTGCTTCTGTTAGCCTGTGAATGAGATCAGCAGCAAAAAGCAGCCTAGTAGCTAATCATACGCTTAGTAAGACTCTGGCACATACTAGTGGTCCATTTGTGGTCAACTTAGAGGAGTTCCAGCCTGCCTTTTCCCAGTGCAGCTTGGTCCATTTCCCCCTTCAGCCCCTGGAGCTAGATGAGCACCCGCCATTCTGTTGTGGTACTAACTGTAGGAAGGCATCTGAGACCTGTGGGAATCCCCCTGGCTGGAGAGCACTGAGGAACTGAATTCCAAAGATAGAGTTTCTTTGTCTCTTTTCTTTGCCTCAGGCCAGCAGGGCGGGTTCCTGCAAGTTTCACTGTCAAAGCGGCTTTTCCCCAAACAGGCTGCAAAGCAGTCTGGGAGAGTGGAAAGCAGATTAAATTAATCTCAGTGTGCTGAGCATGGCAGGGGGTGAGACCGGTTGGTCCTTCCAGAAATAGCCCAAACTCTTTGTTACTAAAGCAGGTGGTGAACTAGCCGGCTTGGCGAAGCCAGACAGCTGTGAACACCCTCCCCTGCCCCTGGGGTGCTCTCTCCTATAATATGTCCCAGGGTTACGATGGGGACTTGAATTTTTGGTGTCAGTGTGAAGGGGTTCATTTGTTTGCCTTCTCATAATAAGATTTTTTTTTTAACAATGACACTATCAGAGTCCTTGCTTCCCATTCATGAGCACTGATTTGTACCTTCTGCTGATCAATGTCTGGAAGACTGTCTCTTCTGCCTGACAGGGTCCATCGACAGCACAGGCCAAAGACAGTAAGGAAGGGGTTGGAGCTGGGGACAGCGTGCCAGGAGCAGTTTGGGGATGTGTGTCATTGACTGATGGGAGACAGCAGTGATCCCAGAGTGTCAAGGAGAGTGGATTCCTTCTAGTTTAATTCCATACTAAGTACCAGAAGCATTGGAAATCACACACTTCTTCAGCCTGGGCTCAGGCCTGTGGCTGTTGAAAAGCAAACAGTAGCAAGGTGTGGTGGTGCACAGCTGTGAGCCCAGCACTAGGAGGCACTGAATACAGCCAAGGCAAAAGGATCTCGTGTAAGGCTGGCCATAGAAACTTGGTGAGACCCTTGTCTCTAGATGGAGAGACAGATAGATATGAACCCAAACTATCTCTCTGAGATGCACATGTGGTAGGTCCTGACATCTGTATTTGACAGCCTGTGGAACAGTCTGAGAGGGCCAGGACTTGGCATGATCCATTCCCTGATGGAGACAGTCCCTAGGCCTTGTTAAGCCTGTGTTTGCTCAGTGTACATGTCAGATTAGCTTGTCTCCAATCTTAAGGAACATACCTAGGATTGATGGCAGAGATTGGCAGGAAGACAGATTTGGGGCTCATTCAAAGGGAGAACTTTGTGATTGTACTCCCCAAGTTAGCAGTAGGTACCTCAGAAGTAGTTCCTCTGTTGCTGAAAGCTTCCAAACATACTGCAAGTCCCTGAATGGGGGAGCATTGTAGCCACTGCTCATGCCTTGGTAGCGACTGGAGCTGACCTTGTGCTCTGTGACCCACAGTCACTGCCTCACAGGGTTTAGTTAAGAGATCACAGCCATCACCTAAGTGTAGCGTTCAGCTTTCATTATAAGCTTTGTATTTGAACAACATTTACTCATAATTTTAAATAAAATCTGTATTTATTTCTGTGTATATTTAAAATATTAGAATGTAAAAGCAAGGGAAAATGAAATAAATACAGACTTTAAAGTTTAAAAGAGAAGTTGTTAACTTGATCATGGCTATTTCTAGATTGTAAAACATTGTTTTTTCGCTTTCTAAACATTTTTACTAAAACAAAACAAAACAAAAAAAACAAAACTAAACAAAACAAAAAAAGCACAAAGAACCTAATTCCAAAGGGAGGGTTTCTTTCTAGTCAGGGATGCTGGTGCACACCTTTAATCCCAGCATTCAGGAGGCAGAAGCAGGAGGATCTCGGTGACTTTGAGGCCAGCCTGGTCTACATAGTGAGTTCTAGGATAGCCAGGACTGTTACACAGAGAAACCCTCTCTTGAAAAACCAAAAAGAAAGAAAGAGGGACCGTCCTTGTTTTCTACAGAAAAGCCAAAGCTATTAAAACTTATTTCACATTAGTACAAAGAATATATTTTTTTAGCTTGCTGGTATAACTTAGGGTCAGATACAAGTTAATTTTTAAGATTTTTAAAAATTATTTGGTATGTGTCTTTGTAAGCATTCACACATGCACATATATATATATATATATATAAGTGCAGGTGCACACTTGTCACAGAGTGCATCTGTGGTGGTCAGAGGACAGCTTTCAGAGTTTCTCTTCCACCATAGGTTCTAGACATCAAACTCAGGTCATAGGCTTAGAGGACACTCATTGAGCCATCTCACCCACCCAGAAATTAGGTTTTAAAAACCCCCATCAGTTGTATCTCCTGGGTGGCTTTTGCTCAGCTCTGGAGTCTGTTCCTAGTAAGGCTCTGTAGGAATGAGGGCTGAGGGCGGGTCATAGCCTGTCTTTTCTCATTAAGAAAGGTTGCTCCTGGTTGTCTGGATCAGGACTGCTGGTAAGAAAGTGAATTCCAGGTTGGAGCTATGCTGGAGCCCAGTTAGAAATCATCACTAGAATGTTTCTTTTTTTTATTTCCTTGTGTACATGATTGGGCACCATGAATTTCCATTTCCTGGGAGTATTTTGAGTCCTTAATATGAAATAATGTCTTCATAGTGTTATACAGAAATTACATAAGTAACAATGAGCTGTAGTTTTTTCCTATTTTATTATTTTAATACTGTTTATTATATACTGCTGGCTTATGCTTAATATTAATAGGCTTGTTGCAATAAAGAAATGGCTTTTCTACTTTTCTCTTTTAGGAAGCTCCAGGTTAAAGGCACCTCAGCTCAATGAGCATTTGGTGGTGACAGAGAACAACTTTGGGAAGGGAACTGGGGAGAGGGGCAGAGGCAGGCAGATCTCCATGAGTTCGAGGACAGCCTGCAGAGCAAGTTCCAGGACAGGCTCCAAAGCTACACAGAGAAACCCTGTCTTGAAAAATAAATCAATAATGTTTAAAATGAGGTGGTGAAACCTTGCACCTCTACAGCAGTGAGGCATGTCATTCAGAGATGATGGCAGAAGGGAGAGGAGGCCCACCCTGACGGTCTATGGGAGGCACCCATCTCACTCTTTGGAGCATTATGTTTAGTTTTCCAAAGGAGAAATCAAGGCTGTCTACAGAGAGGTGGAGCGTGGGTCTGTGGTTTGCTTAGGACTGGATGGAGTGTCTACTGCACTCTAAGAGCAGGGGTCACAGAGAAAAATGGCAGTTTGTACCAGCAGCTTCAACACTGGAGAGAGAGAAAAAAAAAAACCCAATAACCTCATAACTTAGTGCAGTAGCCTCCAAAGGATAGTGCCTACTGGCATTTCAGCCCCCAAATTTCCCAGGCATCAGTTTGAGGGTGCTGTTAAAATCTGACTCTCCAAGGGGACTGGTAGAAAGTTCCTTTACCATCTGTCCACCAAATTGCTTTATTATACCATACGCCTGTGTTTGATGGGGCTTCTTGATCACTATTTGGAGTTCTCTGTAAATCGAGTGTTGCTTTGTTTAACCCAGTACTGCCTGAGGCTGTACTCCTCAGGGACAGATTTCTGGCCTGTTCTCAAGAGCAGCTGTTTAAGAAAACCTGCCAGCTGCAGAGCCATATTGTTGTGAAAGTGATCGCACTGGCACTGGGTAGGGTGACCACTGAATCTGTACCATACCGCTGGTAAATGTGTCTTGGAGGTTAGGGACCACGTTGCTGGCACTGTGGCTTGTGTGCACTGTGGGGCTGGCTGTCCATCTCCAAACTGGCCTCCGTTCTCATCCCTGCCACTTTGTCGTCCCCCCCCCCCCCATGCAGATTCAGGGCAGGGCATTGTTCATGCACTGACCGACCTCAGCAGCCCCGGCATGACCTCAGGGAACGGAAACTCTGCCTCCAGCATCGCCGGCACTGCCCCCCAGAATGGTGAGAATAAACCACCACAGGCCATTGTGAAACCCCAAATCCTGACGCATGTTATCGAAGGGTTTGTGATCCAGGAGGGGGCGGAGCCTTTCCCGGTACGGACTACTTCTTTTCCCCTCTTTTTTTTTTTTTTTTTTTTTTTTTAATATGTTTTGGATTGTGTACTAGAATATTTTTACAATTCCATGTAAATTTTCTGAAAATGTGAACAGTTTTCTCTTACCTTGCTGATTTCCCCAATCTACCACAGTGTCAAATAATTTCTCTTTAGGATCAAGTTTCTCCAGAGTCCAAAATGACTTGGTGATAAGAATAATTGACAAGACCTTGGTTGAAGTTTATGCACACAGGTTCAGCAGTATCGATGACTGGTGACCTGTGACCCCTGAAGTAGGGGACTTAGTGTATATGATGAAATACAGTGGACTTTAAAAAATTATACCTTATTGAGTTTTCAGTGCCAAAACCTAAACAGCAAGACTTTGGCCAGTTAGCAAAAGGAGCCTGTTAGTGCAGAGTCCTCAAGCTGGGTTGGAAATCAAGGTGGTGGCATGGGAGTGTAGCCTGAGATGTGCTTCTGGGAGCAGAGCCTTGAAAAGGAGTGGGTGAGATAGATCAGAGCGCCTTCAGAAAGGGCGTGTGTGGCTCAGGAGGACTGTGTATTGGGAACTCCATCCCCTGGGTTACCATCTGCCTGTCTGTGGAAAGTCTTAAAAGAGGGTAGAACTTGGTTTCTGCAGTGGGTGAACTGTCAACAGGCAAGTGCATTTGTGCCCTCTCCTTCTGGAGGTTGGCCATAGCCAGTGGCAGATCTCTCAGGGGCGGCTCACCTTATAAGGACCTAGCTCTGTTCCATGCCTCCCACTCCACCCTGGTCTAGTCCTCCTCCTGCCTCTGGAGAAACCCTGAGCCTGTGAAATGAAGGCAGATAGAATAGCAGCTCACATCATTCTAGAGCCACATACCATGTGCTCTGGCCACCAGGTTCCCCAAACAAAACAAGGGCCCAGAGAAGTAAAGCCAGCCTTGGTGCTGCCAGCCTTGGTGTCTGCGGTCAGTTGTGCCCTCCTCTCCCCTGTGGCTGTCTGTCCCTCTGGCTCCACTGTGGTCAGATAGAGAGCAGTACAAAATCAAAACAGAGATGCTGGGTCTTGTAAATATACTCTCACACTTAGCCCTACCCCTCCTGGTACTCTCTGAACATACAACCTGGCACCTGATCAGTGAGCGGTGAGAGAAATATGGTATCTGTTCTTGAACACACCTGACAGAATAAAATACCCCTGTCTTCTAGAGCTGTCTTAGTACTGTGATGCCCACTGTTTCTGGCTTTGGGAACCAGACAGCAGAACAATGCCCCTTGAGTGGGGCACCCTTGGATGATGGCATGCGGGAGGCTTGAGGAGGGCTGATATCTGCCTGGCTACTTTGTACCTGTAATTGTAATAAGGCTATATAGCAAGGAGTCTAGGATCTAATCCTTATGCCTTCCTGTCACCTGTCCTCTAGGTGGGACGCTCGTCCCTGCTGGTGGGGAATCTCAAAAAGAAGTATGCACAGGGGTTCTTGCCTGAGAAGCTTCCCCAGCAGGATCATACCACCACCACTGACTCAGAGATGGAGGAGCCCTACCTGCAAGGTATGTACATGACCATGGGGCTCGGGGCTTCTGGTATAGGCAGAAGGGCTTCCCTTTTCTCAGTGTCTGTGGGGAGCCCTGAGCAGGGACCAGAAGAGCCTCCATCCCCTGGCTCTCCAGCAGCCATGTGGTTTCAGAATTTCACTTCCTATAGGGGCCATTGCCAGGTTCTAGAAATGAGAGTAAGTGTAGCAACCAGGCAGGTGTGCCCTCTTTTGCTACCTCAAGAGCCTGAATTTGAGGTGGGAAGGTCTAAGGCACAGCCATGGCCAGACAAGGACTGCATTTAGTTTATGTGAGCCTTCTGCTTCTTTCCTGGTCATGGAGAAGGATGTAGATTCTGCCCACCTCTGCTGTGCCCCAGCCTGCAGTTTGCAAGAGGCATCACCAGACACTCCTGAGGAACTCTCCAGTGGGAGGCCTAGCCCATGCAAAAGGAGTGGCAAAGTGTCATTTTCTAAATGGATGCCACTGGGTGTCATAGCCACAGAGATATGGAAGAGGCAGGATAGGAGCCTGTCACAATCTCCCCACACTCAGCCATTTCCATACTTTACAGAATCCAAAGAGGAGGGTACCCCCCTCAAACTCAAGTGTGAGCTCTGTGGACGAGTGGACTTTGCCTACAAGTTCAAGCGTTCCAAGCGCTTCTGTTCCATGGCTTGTGCAAAGAGGTGAGTGACCTGCCCTACTGCCCTGCATAGCCCCTTTCCTGTCCCCAGGACTGTACCTAGTGTCCTCATTCTAGTAATCATCTACCTTGGATGCTGTAGGTGAGGCTCATCCATCCACCAAGCTCCTTGGCCTGTCTAGTTAAGACACTATCCCAAGCACACCAGGTGAGTGCATTAGGCCTAAGAAACCAGAAGAACCTCCCCTCTCTTGAGTATGTGAGAGGAAGCATCACTCACTGTACAAGCACACAAAGCAGCCCATTAGCTGGGCCCCCAGGGCAGCTGCCATGTTCTTAGGGTAAAGCTGTCCACAGAAATAAAACTTAGCTTCTGTCCAGCCTGAGAATTGATGACGATACAAAGCATTATCATTTATTGAGAAGCTACTTCAAAATGGCATGGTCCTGCGAATCTGTAATCCCAACACTTGAAAGACTGCAGCAGGCAGGATTGACTCAAGAATAAGGTCAGCCTCCAGTGTGCAGTAGGATAGTGTACAGTAGGTATACAGTAGGACAACCTGAGGAGACCTTGTCTCAACTTAAATAAAAGCAGACAGACCGACAGACAGAAATTGACACACAGAGAGAAACTTGGTGCCAGGGGCCCTGCTAGTCAGTTGTCTGTTTTCAGAACGTCTCTGCTAGGCAACTGTTATTATTGTCACCATTGTATTTACTGTCATTCCCTTTATGTGGGTTGGAAAATGAAGGCATAAAGGAGTAGTCGTGCCTCAAGTGACACAGCCGATGTGTCATGGGGGATTTAGGATCTAACGTGCCCTGTGTTCTTTGTAGGAACACTTTAACTTTGACAGCCCAGAACTCAAAAGAACTCTCTAGGTTCCAGGTAGACGTGTTGTGTGTGATGCCCTAGAGTTCCTGTCCTCAGCCATGCTACCCAGCGGTGCTGAAGGAGCCAGGGCTCCTTAGTCAAGCTTTGCCAACCCACACTCCAGCAGGACAGTGGGCAGAGTAGTTTCCTAGCACCATAGTGTGTGGCAGCTGTACTCTGAGTAGTTGAATTAAACATGTCACCAGCATTCCCTCTTGTCATCATGAAACCGGTTTAGAAGGCAACTGGTATCATACCCTGCCTCCCAGGAAGGGCTCAGAGCTCAAGTGCCTGCCCAGAGCCTCAATGTCCTGGAGTCAGTTTGTACTATAGGCAGACTCAGAGAGTCTCAGTCATCAGCAGTGTCCTGAAGTCAGTTTGTACTATAGGCAGACTCAGAAAGTCTCAGTCATCCGCAATGCCCTGGAGTCAGTTTGTACTATAGGCAGACTCAGAATCTCCGTCATCAGCAGTGTCCTGGAATCAGTTTGTACTATAGGCAGACTCAGGTTGGCTGGCTGTGTGCCCAGGGCTCCACTCTGACTTGCTTGCTTCTCTCTGCAGGTATAATGTGGGATGCACCAAACGAGTGGGACTTTTTCACTCAGACCGGAGCAAGCTGCAGAAGGCAGGGACCACAACCCACAACCGCCGACGGGCCAGCAAAGCTAGTCTGCCCACACTTACCAAGGACACCAAGAAGCAGGTAAGAGGTCACAGAGCTTACTAGAGCATCACTTGGCATGCTGTCCGCTTCTAGCATGCTGCTCTCACCTCCTACAGGTCTCACATCCAGCCTTTCCTGGGTCCCCTAGTAGGGCCTTCCCTTATAGTTTTAGCTTAGAATGACCCCACACACACACACACATTCTTGATTTCTTGGATCTCACCCTGCTGGCCCTGGAAAGACAAGGTATTAGGTTACCTCCATGTTAGGGTGGCTGGGAGAGATGGCAGCCTCCACAGTTTCCCCTACTGCCTTTATGCCCCCTTGAAAACTGGAGCACTGAGTTTGTGAAGGTCCCCATCAAGTAAATATTCATTTACTAAATATTATTCCCAACAGTTCCGTGCCAGGGATTCTGTTGGGCACTAAAGATCCGAGGACATGGAACTCACAGCCTAGCATGGCAATCTCCATTTTTAAGTCTGTGGTGGTGGCAGTGGTGATGGTGACTTTTATCTTGCACCCTGTAAAGAATCAGCTAAAAGCTGCAGTCCAGAATGTACATATGCAGTCCCTTTCGGTAGTCCAGTGACATGAAACACCCCATATAGGACAAATGTAAGGGCAGATTGTTGTCATGTAGAACAGCACTTGGGGCAATCCTGGGGACTGACTGTCTGGAGCTAAAGAGCAGGAGCACAGAGACTGTGACTCCAGGAATAGTGAACCAAGCAGAAGAGGGAGCAGCGCCTGCCTCCACCCCTTCTTGTTGTGGGAGTGGTCAGTTCCCCAGTCCTGAAGTACAGTGTTTCTCTCTCTGTTCTCAGCCCTCAGGCACTGTACCCCTCTCAGTTACTGCTGCCTTGCAGCTGACACACAGTCAGGAAGACTCCAGCCGGTGCTCAGATAACTCAAGCTATGAGGAACCCTTGTCACCTATCTCAGCCAGCTCATCCACCTCCCGACGGCGACAAGGCCAGAGGGATTTGGAGCTCCCTGACATGCACATGCGGGACTTGGTGGGCATGGGACACCACTTCCTACCAAGTGAGCCCACAAAGTGGAACGTAGAAGATGTCTATGAATTCATCCGCTCTCTGCCAGGTAAGTTCCTTGGAAACTTTTCACCTGCTGGAATAGCGTGAGTGAGAGGGAGTGAGGACCTTACCTTCCTCCAGGACACAGCAGGCCCCAAGGGGCAGAGGTAGGAAGACACTGCTCCTGCCTGTGAAAGCTTATGTTCTAGCATAGCAGTCTCTATGGAATACTTCCTGGCTACCATTAGAAATAGCTGCAGTCTAGGAAGTGGTCTCTGAAGTACATAGCATGGAATTAGCTCTGTCTCTTCCTGGGCAAGGTAGGAGGAAATCAGGAGAGAGTGTAGTATCAGGAAAACATAAAAATAAACAGCACAGGGCTCGAGAGATGGCTCAGTGGTTAAAAGCACTATTTGCTCTTCCAGAGGTCCTGAGTTCAATTCCCAGCAACCACATGGTGGCTCACAACAATCTGTAATGAGATCTGGTGCCCTCTTCTGGTGTGCAAGTATACATGCAGGCAGAACACTATGTACATAATAATCTTAAATTAAAATAAAAAAAAAAATAAACAGCTGAAATAGGCTTTTGCAGATTGAGAGACTATCCATGATTGAGTAAGAGCAGCTTGAGTAAAAGCAAAGACAAAAAGGTGTGGTGTAAGGCTGGTCAGTGGGGGTGCACGCCTCTAATCCCAGCACTTGGGAGGCAGAAGCAGACGGAGCTGTATGGATTTGAGGCCAGCCTGGTCTACAGAGCTAGTTCCAGGATAGCCAGGGCTGTTACACAGAGAAATCCTGTCTTGGACCCACTGTCCCCCCAAAAACGTATGGTATAGTGTTAGGAGTAAGGTTTTCCCCACTGGTCTGGTCCCACCGCCATGCCAGCCCCAAATAACACTCTGTATTAGATATAATTCTGTTGGCCAGTTGTTTCTTATCGGCTAGCTCTGTCTTAATTATTAACCCATTTCTATTAATCTAAGTATTTCCACGTGGTCTCATCTTACCGGAGAATGGGCCCGGACCTCTGTTCTCCAGTCTCTACATGGTGACTCCTCTCTACTACTTCCTCTTTCCTCGTCTCCTAATCCCACCTATCTTGCTTTCCTATTGGCCAACAATGCTTTATTCATTAACCAGTATGAGAAACATATTTACAGAATGACATCTCCCATCAGTATAGTGGACACTGTGTATAGTCCTTGGTGCAGAGGGCAAGTGAATATGAAGTTGTCATAAGACTTCTACTTGGAAAGGCAAATTTTCTAGTATTCCAGATTCTTCCAGGGGAACCCTGAAATATTTTCCCTTACTGCCAGCCTCACGAATTTACTGCCAGGTTAGCAGTGATGGTGGCCACAAGCCTGTTACAGGGTGGAGTGCAATAAGAAATAAGAACAAAGAATTGGAGATCAGACAGAACCGGGTCCAGTTGTAGCACTTTCATTTAACCTAGCGTTTTTGTTATCTGTCCTGTACCCTCAAGTTTGTCATAGCACCATTACTGTTGTTATAGACTTAGGAAGCCTTTGCAGCCCTATCTCGGGGTCCCTTATGAGGATGCAGCTTTGTGTCAGCAAAGGCCAAGGCCACCTTCAGGCTTCTCTGGGGTAATGGGATCCTCACTCCTGTGGTTTGCAGGAAGGGGCTAGCTGTTGGCAGGAGGCCTCTATGTGGGCCTCTTATGGCAAGCATGACAGCAGGTTCCCCCACAGCTAGTAAATCTAGAGAGAAATCAGAAGAAACCATCTTGGACCTAGCCTGGGAAATCACACTCTGCCATTCCCTACAGTATCTCAATGGTCACACAGATAAGCTCTGTCTTTGGGGGGAACTCACAGGCTGGCTTAGTCAGGGTTTCTAGTGCTGTGTTGAAACACCATGACCAAAAGGCAAAGTTGGGAAGAAATGGATTTATTTGGCTTATACTTCCATATCACTGATCATCATTGGAGGAATTCAGAATAGGAATTCAAACTGGGCAGGAACCTGGAGGCAGGAGCTGATGCAGAGGCCATGGAGAAGTGGTGCTTACTAGCTTATTCCCCATGGACTGCTCAGCCTGCTTTCTTATAGAACCCAGTGCCACCAGTCCAAGGATGGATGGCCTCATCCACAATGGACTAGGCCCTCCCCCATTAGTCACTAATTAAGAAAATGCCATACAGGCCTATGTAAGCAAGGTTCCTCTGTATCTCAGCAGACACTCCCAAATAACCACACAGAACCTTCTTATAAATGCTCAGGCTTGTTACTAGCTAACTCCTACAACTTGAATTAACCCATTTATATTGATCTAAATTCTGCCACATGGCGTTACCTCTCTTTCATCTTGCACCTCCTGTTTCTTCTCATTTCCTATCATTCCTACATCATATCCCCCTTTATTCCTTTAGAGATAGATTTAATACAAGTATAGACTGTGTACTGTACACAAGTTAGTCAATGATGATATTTTATGTTTAAGCAGTTAAAATATATGTGTTTTGTACTTTATTTGTAGATTTCTTTAGGTTCATAGTCAAGATTTTTCAGGGAGTCTTCCTCAATCAAACCTGATCCATATCAGTGTGTGTTATGAGTAGGTTTTGCCCTGCCAGTCTGGTCCCACTACCATGCCAGCCCCAAATAACACACAGAGATCCTGTATTAGATATAAATACTGTTGGCCAGATTCTTGCCATGTGGTCTTATCTTACTGGAGAGAGGGGCTGGCGTTCTTCTCTCCTCCATCTTGAAACTCCTCCCTACTACTTCCTCTCTTCTTGTCTCCTAGTCCTTCCTATCTTGCTTTCCTATTGGCCAACAGTGCTTTATTCATTAACCGATAAGAGAAACATATTTACAGAATGACATCTCCCATCATCTCCTCTTTTCTGTTTAAAATAAAAAGAAGGGTTTAAACCTTAACATAGCAAGATATATCACACAACAGTTATCAAATAAGAACCACAGTCAACAATGTTTAGTCCATTAACATTTAGCAAGATTTAAAGAAAATATTTCATCATCTATCCTATCTTTGTGAGTCTAAAGCCCTATATATAATTTATCTTTAATCCTAACTAAGGAAAACTATAACCATAACTGTCTTCAACTCCTTCAAAGACTACAGAAGGTTAATATATACATTCTAGAAATGACAGACTTCTCGCTATACCTGGTCAGGCACCTGAAGTTCTTCAGTAATGTTCCATCTTCAGCCCATAGGCCATAGTGTGTCTGGCAGACTCCTCAGCAAAGCAGGAAACTTTAAACTGTCCACCTGTACTGGCAGTTTGTCAGTCACTTTTCTCTGTGTCCTGCAGAATGTCTGGCAGACTCTTCCATGATGCAAGAACCCTGTAGTAATGTCCATCTTGTATCAGCAGCAGTCACTTCCCTGTGGGTCCTGCATGTCCAGTTTATACAGCATAAAGTCAAACAGTCTAGACAAGAGCAGTATCTTGTCAAAATGGCTAGTCTTGCCATACTGAAAGCAAACTCTATAATGTGTTTCTTTAATGTCCATCCTTCTTTCTGATGCAAGTGGTGTTGCCAGGAGCAGTTATGTCTCACTGTCAAGAAAAACCCTAAACAATTTTAAGTGCCATATTCTGTAAATCTTTGAAAGGGTTGAAGAATGCCTATCCATCTCAAATACATCTCTATATATCTAGAAATCTTAACTAACTTAACTGTAAGTTTTGACTATCATAGGTAACTATCTATAATCTGTACTAAATTATACATTACATTTCTGAACTATATAAACACAATACCTAAACAAGAGGAGAAATATACTAAATCACAAAATTGATTTGTATTTATTTGTATCAATTAATGAAAATCCATTCCAAAACAAAGTATTCATATCTATACCATAATCCCCTTTTTACCTTTAAAAAGATTGGTTGTGGTCACTAACCATTTATAACCAACCCCATATAAATGAAAACAAACATTTATAAACAATATTTGGGAATTTGGGCATTGTTCTTTCCAAACTGCTTCCTGCTGGTAGGGAGCGCTGTCATGGGGATCCTAAGAAGATGCAGAAATCCTGGCTGTAGTGGTCTGCAAGGCTGCATTGTCCCATGGACATTGCTTCAGGGGTCTTGCTTGATCAAACCACATTAGTCTAGAAGGAATCAACAGCTTTTCATTTTCTGTGGAAACAAAACTGGAAATCCTTTTCCCCAGTAACTTATCCTTAGACTTAAATTTTGAAGTCGAAGCATTTTTAAAATATATAAATTAAATTAATCCAGCAGTATTTCTTTTAATAGTTGTTATTTCCTCAGCAATTTAAAGACAACAGAATAGCGTATAGTATCCAAAGTTTCTCTGTGCTTTCCATCTTAACGTGGCTTTTTAATTATTCCTTCTACTTCTATTCTTTCATTTTTTTTGAGACAGGGTTTCTCTGTGTAACTTTTATCTGTCCTGGAATTAACTCTGTATACCAGGTTTACTTTGAAATCACAGAGATCTGCTTGCCTCTGTCTCCCGAGTGCTGGAATTAAAGGCATGTGCCACCAAACTCAGCTCCTCTCTGTCTTTTAAAAACCATTTTATTCTTTTTCACTCCCAAGCCTACATATATTTTAAAACACACTGTAAACCTTTAGCGGTTTTCTTAATCTGAATGTCTTTACTGTAAACTTTATCTTTTTCTGTCCACCAGTCTTTATCTGGTAAGCAACGACATTGCTAAAATGAAAGCCATAGCTGTATTAGCTGCGGTCTATCAAAGATGGTAGTGGGTACTTTTATCGCTAATACTGAGAGCTGTGCTTACTGCCTTGGTCTACGCTGCCATCCAGCAGCATGTTGCTGGCTTGGAGATGTGGTCACTGCCATTGCCAGCTCTCATTCACACCAATGAATTGTTAGCAGGGCTTCTTAAAAGCCTTGCGGTTTTTTTTTTTTTTTTTTTTGCCGCTTATGCGGAGTCAGGAAACCTCCCTTTAAAAAGCCGAGCAAATTTCTGCTTGTCTCTAGCAAAACAAAGTTCAACTGAGAAAAATGCTGCTACCAAGAAGTCTTGCTTGTCTTTGTTCTTTTGTTTCTAAAACCATTTCTTAAGCTTTTCTTAAATTTTAAGTGGAAGTTCTTCAGCCCCATGTTGGACACCAAATGTGGAATGAGCCCACAGCCTCTCATTTCCTGTAGAAAAAAAAAATCGTAACTGTTCTCCCAAAGCAACGTACCTCTTGACTTCCAAGTTAAGATATTTTAAAAATACAGGTTGGTTTAATCCAGCAGTTTCCATAATCCAGTGTTTTCTTAGCAGTTATCACTCATTCATTAGCAGTTAAAAATTTAAAGACAACACAATAATATCCTGGATCCAGACTGTGTGTTTCCCATCTTTACGTGGCTTTTCTCTTTTGCATTTCTTTATATTCCCCTTTTAAGAATTTTACTTATTTTTTTAAAACTATACATTCTTTCTGACTACCTATACCCTTTTTCTTTTCTCTCCCAAGCCTTTGTACATTTTAAACATTGAAACCCATTTAGAGGCTTTCTCCATCTGAATCTGTCTTTACTGGGCATCTGACTTGTTTTTGATCACATGAGACAAATCTTAAGCTGCTGTATTAGTCATCAACATTGGCAGCTGCCCCCCCCCACTTCATGACCCTCCACCCCTACCTTGGCTCCCTGAGTTCACACTGCCACCAAATAGTGTGCCACCTGGCTGCACATAAGCCCCATTTAAGTGTTCAGTAGCAGGGCCTCTTAAAAAGAGTCATGCTTGTGTTTGCCAATAGCAAACAGAGCCTAACTGAGAAAATGGAGCTGTTTAGAATACCTTTATTTTAGTTTTCTCAGGTTTTGGGTGCCATTTATAAGCAGTTTCTTGGCAGTCGCTCCCAAATAAGTCGCTCCCACATAGAACCATCTTATTAATTATAAATGCTTGGCCAATAGCTTAGGCTTGTTACTAGCTAACTCTTATAACTTAAATTCACCCATTTATATTGATCTAAATTCTACCACATGGTGTTACCTCTCTTTCATTTTGCACCTCCTATCTCCTGTCTGAGTCTGGCTGGCAACTCCTCTCTTTTCCCTTCTTCTTCCCAATGTCCGTAGTCTGGTTCACCCACCTAACCTCATCCTTTCTAGCTTTGGGTCATTTATAATTAATATTGAGTCTCTGAGTGGTTATTTAGGGAAGCGGCTGGTGGAACAGAGCTGATCATGGTCCTGACCAAAAAGGAAAAAAAAAAAAAAAAAAAAAAAAAAAAAAAACCTCTGCTTGCAAATAGCATCCTCTGCCCTTCTTCCCAGTGTCCTTAGTCTGGTTATCCCCACCTAACCTTATCCTGCCCAGCTATTGGCCAGTCAGCTTCTTTATTAAACCAGTCACAACAGCACATATCATAGGGAGTAAAGAAATATTCCACAGGCTTGCCTACAGCCTGATCTTCTGGAGGCATTTTCTTGAATCAAGTCTGGGCATGGAGAGCTCTGGCCCTGATGTGCAGGTGTGGTTCCCTAGTCTAGAGATCAGAGAACTAAGACAGGTTGTCTCCTGTCCACCACACCCCAGTATCTGAAAGACAACAGGGAAGAAAAGAAACACACAGGCAGCTCTGGCCCACACCAGCCCTGGTTAGCCCTGGTTGCTATTTCCTTTTGAGGATTAAAGCCTGGAGGACTCTTACCCACCCTTGCTTGTCCCACCCTCATAGTCACCCACTGCTGAGAAAGGCAGCCTGAGGGTTCAACACAACTTCAATTACAGTGCTTACTGTAATTGCTGCTTTTTATTTTCTAATACCTCTGAGCTTTTCAGTCTCATCAAGCAGGATTTCTGACAATATAATTTTCTTGAGATCTTTATAGTCTCTGAGTTCCAAATCCTCTTTCCGATAAGCCTTTCTGTGATGTTGAGCTTATTCTGGAGCCCTCAAGGTTCTTGGGAGCCCTGCAACTGATCAGAAACCATGGCGAGCCCTTCTCCAGGGTATCATGTCAAGTCTTTAGGAGCCTGGATTTTGTTTTTTTGTTTTTTTTTTTTTTGAGGGGTGTGTTTTGATTTGATGGTGTGTGTGTGTGTGTGTGTGTGTGTGTGTGTGTGTGTGTGTGTGTGTGTGTGTGTGTTTGAGACAGGGTTTCTCTGTGTAACCCTGGCATTCCTGAGAACTCACTCTGTAGACCAGCTGGCCTCAAACTCAGAGATCTGCCTGCCTCTGCCTCCTGAGTTCTGGGGGTTACATGTGTGCACCCCATGCTGGAAACTGTTTTCTGTTGACCATCTGAAAGGCTTCCTAAATGGGTAGATACAGGCCAGGGTACATAGAATGCTGTCTTTCTTTCCCTTCCCTTCCTTCTAACAGGAAGCCAGGCAGTGCCCTCAGCCTTCTGCCTGAAGATGTCTTTAGGTCACTCAGCTTACTTGGAACTTTACACTTCACATGCCCAGCTCAGTGCTGCTAAACTTGCTGCTTCCTAGCAGGATACAGTTGAATCCCAGACCTTCCAGCCTTCTGTAGCAGTTCCCTCTTTCATCAGGGTCCTGGGCTATGGGACTCTGCTAGGATCCCAGATAACCTTAGGCAGTCACTGCTACTCTCCACCTCTTCTGGTGGTGCTGCTGGCCCGGGTACAAGACCATCCCTACATGTTCAAAGTTTTTTAATGTCTCACCTCTCAATAAGGAACCAAAATCTGTGTTATCGATAATATTGCTATGAGACAAATCACTCTAAAACTTAGCCTTAAACAGTAATGGCCCATTCATTTTCTCAAAGTTCTGGGGTCAGGCATTTGCAGTGGCTCAGCTGTGGCCTCAGTTAAGGTCATATAAAGTCTCACTGAGGAAGTCAACCAGAGCAGCAGCATCCATGATGGAGGCTGCCATCCACATCCAAGGGGCTCAGTCACATGACTATAGGCCTCTACTGCTATCCACCAGCACCTCTCCTGAGGGAGCTGATGGAGTGTTCTGATGTGGTGGTCAGTTTGCTCCAAAATAAGTTTCCTGCTAGGGTAAGAGAAAGGCTGTTGTGGTTTCTGTGAGGCCTCAGTAGCCACATGCTTACCCTGTGTACCAACCCAGCACTTAGAACAGTAAGTAGTGGAGGGAAAGGCCCAAGGAGGGCCACATCCTCACTTTCTGGTTCAGTCATTTAGTCTCTCAGGCTGCAAGACAAGAACAGTAGTACTGCTCTGGTGATATCGTGCTTGTACAAATAAAGCCTGTCTGAAGGTAAGAGAATAGAGCTTGCCACCAGCTAACCATTAGAGGTCTGGAGGTGTACAGACAGGAAGTGAGCTATCTGGGCTAACTCAGTCGGTAGAGCATGAGACTCTTAATCTCAGGGTTGTAGGTTCAAGCCCCACGTTGGGCACCATTTGTAGACGGAGTTTCTGTTCTATCCGATCCTGTAGCTATTTGGACTCATGTAAACACACAGAGACTATATTAATTACAATTGTTTGACCAGTGTACTGCCCTCACGGTAGCATGTGAGGCTTTCCTGAGCTAGTGCTTGTCTCTAACTGTTGTTGTTGCCTGTGGTCTTCCTCAGGTTGCCAGGAGATCGCAGAGGAGTTTCGTGCCCAGGAGATTGATGGGCAGGCCCTGTTGCTGCTTAAGGAGGACCACCTGATGAGTGCCATGAACATCAAGCTGGGGCCTGCCCTGAAGATCTATGCACGCATCAGCATGCTCAAGGACTCCTAGAGTCTCTGCTGCCCGCTGCCCAATCGGGCAGCCAGGGTTCCAGCCCCAGGTGGGCGCCGCCTCCTGATGGAGCAGAGCCACACAGACATTCCTGAGGAGCCCAGGATGGGGCCAGTTGGAGGAAAGGGGCTCTTCCTAGGGGTGCAGCTGTGAGGAGGTCTCTGTGCTTCTTCAGTGGCTCTCAGGGCCATTTCTGTGGGAGGGTAGAGAGGTAGGTGGCACAGAAGATGGGGCTTTGCGCTTGTAAATACTGTCAGCACTGGCTTCCTCCAAAGTCCCAATGTTCTACCCCCCTAATCCTTTTCTGTCCCCCATTTTCCAGGGGGTTTATGGTCAGGGCTCCCCAACTTGCGTTGGGATACTTCCAAGGGCAGCCAGCAGGCCTGGACAGAGGTCTTGAAAGCCCTTGCCTTCTCTCTCCTTCCCCCTCCTTTCTCCAGGCCTGGCTAACCTTCCATTGTCAGCTTCTCCCCCTTCAGCCTGTTTCCACAGCATCCGGGGTTCTACCCGTACCCTTTCAGGTGGAGAGACAGAAGCTGGGCCCAGTTTGGCCATGCCTGCTGGCACAGACGCCTTAACGCCGTGTGTATGACTGTGTGACTGGGAGCCTGGACTGACAGGCCGTGAGCTGCCCTCTGGCATTTCCAGGTGTTTTGTAGCAAACAGCCACTTAGTGCTTTGTCCTGGCCTCCACTCAGCCTGAGGCTGGGGAATAGGAAGAAAGGGCAGACCCCGACCCCGAGAGTTGGAGATTAGCGGTTCCCTCCAGATGGCAGGAGGTTTGTGGGAAGGTCTCCTCACACCGGTGGAACTGCCAGTGATCCTGCTGGCTGGCAAACAGCATAAGGAAGCTCCAGGGGCCCAAAGCCCAAGCTGCCCATGCCTTCCCTGCCTGCCCATCCTTACACACACACACACACACACACACACACACACACACACACACACACACACACACACACCCCACCCCCCCACCCCCGTCGTGGGAGGAACTGTGTGACTGAAGGGTGGCTGCAGGCACTGTGGAAGCAGCCCTTGGCCTTCCACTCCCACACTTGCTTGTAAAACTTGTATAGCAGTAACAGCTACCTAAGGAAGGGCAGGCCGCCTCCGACTTGCCCTGTCCTTACCAACTCTGGGAAGTCAGACTCTTCCCAGGAGGGGTGGGCATTTTCTCAGCTTATTCTGCCCCTTTCCCCACACCCCAGGCAGGGTTGGAAATGAAGGACTTTTTTAACCTTTTGTTTTGTTTTTAAAAAATAAATCTGTAAAATCTGTCTCATGTGTGGCTTTTTCCTAGGGATGCCTGTGTGCCTGGATTTTGTTCATGAGTGAGGAAAAGAATAGGATTTGAGTTGAGGAAGGATGATTGCCTTAACTGGGCAACATATGCATTTCACCTGGCTAGGACTGGGTCATTTCATTGCCCTCACCCCAGATCAACACCCGTCAATGTGAAAATGCAGGGCCCTTGAGCTCTGAGCCTCCCTACCTGCTTTTCCCATCAAGGCCACGTGGGAAGCCAACATTATCAGTAACACTTGAGCCAGAGCCTAGACTTACACCTAGAGCAGGTGCGTCGGGATGGAGCTTCTCCCTGACCATAAGACTCAGGGACTTGAGAATAGCTTTAGTTCACTCAGCACTTGCCAAGCATTGTGTGCTGATAACACAATAGGGGGATAGGTAGACCAAGGGACATCTAACTCTCTCAAAGAGGGAAGGTGACAGGTACTATCTGATAGTGAAATAATAATGGTGATAAGTGCAAAGGCAGATGAGATGGAAGCTGGCCACACTGAGGTAAAACAGCTAGGTGTTAGCTGGGGTTGGCCATGTGCCTCTTGGGTGAAGTTATCTGAGTGGAGTGAGCCACAGGGAATCCCTTACTCAAAAGAACCTTTTGGCTGTCCCTTTGCTCTGCCGGCTGTGGACAAAGGCAGCCTAGATTGCTAGTCTTACCACTTGGACCTCTATTTTCCCTGGGGGGGGGAGATACCAGGTCCCACTCAAATTTGCTTTTAAGTGCGTGATGGAGAAGAAGCCATGGCTACTCATAAATTGGTAAATATAAGTCGGCTGAGTTGTCTGTCACTTCAGATGAAAGGACCTAACACATCTCATGATTTTTGTTTGTTTTGTTTCTCTTTTTGAGACAATGTTTCATGTAGTCACAGCTGATCTGGACTTCAACCTCCTGAGTGCTAGAATTACAGGGCTGAGCAATGTGTTTGGCTACTGCTGTAAATTTGAAGGCTATGCTCTTACATAAATATTTGTTTCTCGTATTGACACTACATAAACTTTCACGAATGTTTGGTCATGACCCACAGTTTTAAAAACTTTATGACAGGCATAGTGGTGAATGCCTTTAATTCCAGTGCTCAGTAAGTAGAGGCAGGTGGATCTCTGTGTTCAAGGCCAGCCTGATCTAAAAAGTGAGTTCCCGGACAGCCAGAGCTGTACAAAGAAACCCTGTCCTGGGCAAAAAAAAAAAAAAAAAAAAAAAATACTGCCAGAGTGAGCTACACAGACATGATCTTATGTGACTCTTAATCTGGGGACAGGCATGTGCACCCCGTGTTACTGTGGAGGCAAAGGAGACTAACTACAAGGAGTGAAGTTGTTCGTCACAGTGCCCAGTGCTTTTTGGCTTAAGCTGGTATTCAGTGCCATACATGACTTTTCCAGGGTGGGAATGCAATACCCTGGCTCTAGACCCTCCCAGAAACAAGACACAAGAGAGGAAAGAGAAGCCCCTACACCTGCATCAGGTCCTCCAATGGGTTGGTCTGGCTTCACTCCTCTTCCAAATGATTGGCCCCAAAGGGCTTGCCAATCCCGCCCTCATCCTAGGATCTGTGGTAAATTCACCCCCAGGTCTCTGGATTTATTGGCAATCTAACCCAGATTGCTTCTAGGGGTGTGGTTTAAGAGGTGGGAAGGAACTGCTTTGTTCCTATACCTTATTACCTTCACTGCATATGCCATTCCTTCTGCCTCTCTGGGATAAAAAGATTCCATGACAACTGGCTTCTCCCAATGGCTCCCAAGGGACTCAGGTGAGTGGGTTCAGTGCCTGCCAGGTGGGAAGTACTAGTATAAGCCCCAGGCCGATTGGCCCAAGAGGGGTTCAGTCAGGTGGCTCCAAGAACAAGTGTTAGGAATAATAAGTGAGAAACCTTGGCAGATTCCATGGCAGATGAGGGTGACCAAGGCAGAGGGACAAACGTGCCAGGCAGACAGAGCTTCAGTGAGTTTTATTAGAAAGGGGAGGGAGGGGGAGGAAAGAGGTAAAGAGACGTAGAGATGTAGAGGACAGAAGAGAAGAGGGAGGCAGGAAACAGCAGGGAAGAGGGAGGGAAAAGCGGGGGAGGGGGGGTGCGGGAGAGCGTAAGTGGCCAGGGTCTTTCCTTTAAAGGGGTCCTTTGCACCTGTGTGCAGACTGTACAACTATGGAACCCTGGGCTGACCAGGGTACTGCCTGAGTGCATTCTGCCAGGTGAGAGGCAGGCCAGCATAATGCCTGAGTCCTTTCAACAAGAGATGACAGAGGCATGCCATTAAGCCCAGCACTCAGGAAGCAGAGGCAGGTAGAGCTCTATGAGTTCATGGCCAGCTTGGTCTATAAAGCAAGTTCCAGGACAGCTAGATACACACACACACACACACACACACACACACACACAAAAGCTAGGTGAGGGGACCAGGGAGGAAGGGAGAGGGAAGCTATGGAGAGTTCCTCTTTGTCCCCTCGGTGAGGCTGAAAGCCAGGGCCCAAAGCTATACTCCACCCTGAATCTGAGAGCTCTCTTGAAAGCAAGGACTGGGTAATGAGCTGCCTTCTACAATGAGCTGGAGCCCACAGGTCCTTCAGCAAAACCTGACCAAGAAATGTCAGGAATAGGTCACACAGGCACTTCTAAACCTCTAAACTGGCACCCAAGAGGGTAAAGATGGTAGATCTCTGTAGTCATTCCACCCCCAACATGGGGCCCAGCACCCTTCCTCACCTAGCCCTTCGGTCCAGCTTGGACCACTCAGGGCCAGTACAGCCTGGTGCCCAAGATAATCATTGGTTTCCCTACTCTGATATGTAGGAAGACAAAGGAAACGACTGGCTAAGAATGTGTGACACCCACTGGGAACAAAGAAGTCAGTGCCAGCCTTCCCTTGCGTCTGTTGCAAGAACAGTCTAGCAGGCTGCCAGGATTCAGAGTAGGCGAGAGAGTGGGAAGGAGTAGGCTTCTTAGAAACCACACTAGTCAGAAACATGCCACTGAGGTCTAGGGGCCTTTGTGAGGGGAGTTGGGGTCCATGCTGGGTAGATCAAAGTTCAACCCCAACTCTCATCAGCCACTTAACCCGAGACCCAGTCTCCTCGCTGGTGAGATGGGAGAAATCAGCTTCCTCTTGGGGCACTGTGGTCTGCAGTGACCGACGGCCCCAGCAGCAGTGCCCAGGATTAAGGAATAAGCACAGACTTAACTCCTGGAGCAAATGGAATTTTTAGCCAAGGAGTTAATGGCGAGTTGGGGAAAGAAAGTGAAGTTACAGCCACAATTCATTGCTTCATTCACTTCTAGCAAAGGATTGTTAATGATGCCAATTATGAAGTAGGTTCTGGGACTTGGTATCAAGACTCTAAAGTCTAGTAGGGCAATGAAGAGTTCCTAGGGCACACAGGGGTGGGGGCGGGGGTGAAGAGGTTGGTGAAGATAGAGGTGTAGGACCAGGGACCAGATGTCAAGTGGGGAGAGTAGTCTGGCAAAGATGGTGACAATTTCAGTGAGCCATGGGAGGAAACCCAGGAAATTTCACTTGGGGGCTGAAGGGTGGAACCCAGCAACCTGACTGGGAAGTGGCTACACAAATCCAGCTGTAAAACACAAAGGCAGAGAGAATGGAGCAGGTGTGTGTGTGTGTGTGTGTGTGTGTGTGTGTGTGTGTGTGTGTGTGTGAGGGTCTGCTTGTAAACAGTGTAGCCTGGGGACAGCCATTATTAAGGGACAAAGGGGTTCTACAAGGGAAAAAGGGACAGGACAGGAAGGACCACAAACTGTAGATTAAGATGCTGTGAGTTTATACTTGTGGGGGACATCTGGGCAGGCACAGCAATCTAGGGGATGCAAGATACCTGGGGTCATTGCTCAGCCAGAGGGCTGGAAATACAGTGCGCTACGTTACAGATGTTACACACTAATCAACTGAGGGCGGAGCCTAATTGTGCAGGGCTGAACACAATTGAAAAGCACCCAGTCAAAAACAATTTTAAAGGGTCTCTGCCTCTCTCCCTGGAACTTTTCAATGACCATCACCAATCTGGTGTGCCCCCCCCACCTGTCTGCACTTAAATCCATCAATATAATCTGTGTGTAACAGTCAGCAGTAACATGCAGCTACTGAGACCCCAAAGTATGCTGTGTTAGGTCAAAATTAGAAATTAGATTTAGTATTTAGACTTAGAAAAAAATAGGCAAGGAAATATGTCAATTTTCATACTGGTTACAATTTTTTGTTTGTTTGTTTGTTTGTTTTTGTTTTTGTTTTTCAAGACAGGGTTTCTCTGTAGCTTTGGAGGCTGTCCTAGAACTAGTTCTTGTAGACCAGGTTGGCCTCGAACTCAGAGATCTGCCTGCCTCTGCCTCTGCCTCCTCAGTGCTGGAATTAAAGGCATGCACCACCACTGCCCAGCTTCATACTGGTTACATATTAAAAGGACATTTTAAATATATTGGCATAAATCAAAATATTGTTAAAAATTAGTTTCACCTGCTTTGCTTTTTAACTTTGCTACTATAACATGTGAAATCTATGTGGATCACATTTGATCCTTGGAGGTTTTGCTCTTCTATCATTCTCCAGCAGACACTAATGCAGCTCTTGTGGATGCCATGCCTGTCAGCACATGGACAAACCGGAGAGAGACTTCCTTCCTCCGCGGAAGTGAGACCGGCTTCTCCATGAAGTTCTGGTCTTGTCTCTGTTCCAGGGCACATGAGTCCACTCATGCTTGTCACTGGCCACACTGACCAGTGTTAGACTGTTAGACACACACGGTGCATTCACCAACCCCTGCTGGGCTTCCTTATGTCCATCTTTTTTCTTTCTATCAATGTTTGTTTGTTTGTTTGTTTTTCGAGACAGGGTTTAACCTGTGTAGCTTTGGAGCCTGGCCTGGAACTAGCTCTCGTAGACCAGGCTGGTCTTGAACTCACAGACATCTGCCTGCCTCTACCTCCCAAGTGCTGGGATTAAAGGTGTGGGTCACCACTGC